CTTAAACATTCATGCATCACAGAAAGATGGTCACCAAAGGTTGCCATGCAGAAAGTTCTTGTGATAAAACCTTCAGCCCTCAGAAAATTCAATTAATCAAGCTATAACATTGCTGAAATACTGATCAGGACTTTCCTGTACTAGTTTCCCATAGTTTCATCCAAGGAGTGATTTCCTATATGATGTTTGAATTCCTTACAAAATGTTTCTTTCCTTCTTTTCAATTATTAAAAAAAGATACACTTAAGCATTTTCATGCTCAGAAAGAGCAAAATCTCTCACTTTTCTCTCTGCTCACTCTCTGGGATGAGTCTGAATTCCGCTTTGACAGAGCAAAATGCCACCCCTTGCAGTTTACAGAACACTGGCACACATGGAATCCCACTGGGTCTTCAAAATATTACAGTGAGGGAAACAAATGTAATAATCCAAATTGGAAATTGAGGCTGGGAGAAGTGAAGGGGTTTTTCTAAATCCCCACACACAACCAGTCATCGGCGGAAAAGTGGGACTAAAATACAGATTTTTCTGCCTCCCTATCCAGTGGTCTTTTTAAGGCACTGGACTAATACGAGCCCTTCCCCGTGGTGTGAAGTCAGGGCTGACAGTTAACAGCACCCACGCTGCTTGACTGACAGCACATCCATGCCAATCATTACTTATCCTAAAGGGTACCCAGTCGGGGTTGTGGCTCTGTATTCTAGAAATGCATCCTTTTTTTCCTTTTACCCCAAAGTTAGCCATTCTTTCTCCTTTGCCTGTTGAATCATGAATTTCTTGTCCCCATAGGATCACATTTTCTTTCTCTCCTTGATATAATTACAAATCATGGTCTAGTTGTTAACCTTACTTTTATTAACACCTAATTTCTCTATGTTCCAGGTCAACACTAATCCTCTCTCCTTGCAGAAGTTAAGGCATTTAGTGGCTATAAACACTACTGTATCTCACCTTTGACCACATCTCTTCTACAGTTCAAGCTGCCAGAATGTTAGCATGGAACTTTCAAAAGATTAAGATATACAATTACATTCTAATTTCAATGGTTTTAACATTACTTCAGGTATTTTTTCCTGCCTACAATCACTCATCTGCTACCTGATTTTTTTCTTTCTTCTGTGGTTGTAATGAGAAGTTAGAAAGGCTGACAGGAAGGTTAAGAAAGGAGTGGGTGGTGGAAAAGGTAATATAAAAGAACAGTTTTGTGAAAAATAACAAAGATATTTTAACCAGTTATTCATTGGGGAAAAAAATCCACATCATAATTGGTTAACAATGCTCATGTTCTAAGAATATAGTAGTCTCCAATTTTAATGTGTACAGAGGTAGTCTATGAAACCTGCTTTTAAAAAGATTTAGAAAATAATCTTATTTTGATCATGTTTGCTCACTTCAAACCATGTCTGCATTCTTCTGCACCATTCCAAAACTCTGCTGAATGTGGTACATCCTTAGGTTTCAGTTGTCTCTCAGTGCCTCTTGCCAAAGAGCCACACAGTGTAGAAAGAAACTTAAGGGTTCTGGGGCCACAGAGGCATAGGTTGAGGCCCTTAGGCAAGTCGCTTAAACTCTTTGAGCCTCAGTTTCCTCATCAATAAAATAGGGGAAACAATTTCCATCTCATAAAGCTATTGAGAACATTAAATGAAATAATAGATGTACAATTCCTGGCTCAAACCACTGTAGCTGTTACAGAGATCCATTTAATAACACACAGAATGCTCAGAGGTTTCCTAAAGAATGTGTCCTAAGGCATTCATCAAAACTTTTTCAAGAAAAACACAATTTAGTCAACATCTTATGAAAGAAAAGAAGAAAAGAAAGTGAATACCATTTCTATTACTTTCTCTCCCCTACACATGTCACTTGACACCCCTACCTTGAATTGGCAATATTTTGTCATTACACCAAAAGCTCCTCAAATGCTGGGGCAATGTCTCATTTTTGGTCTTCCCAAAACTATTACAGTGCCTAGCACAGAATATGTATTTAATATGCACTTGCATATTTTTTCTTCTCGGTGGGCAACCACTACCAGAAAAGTTCAATGTCAGAGCTCTTATTAATAGATGTTCCCCCTTTGCATTGAGTTCTGATTGTGATTTTGAGGAAGCAAGCTTGTGTCAATAGAATCCAGAAGTGGGATGGAAGGGAGATCCAAGATTTCAAAGTAAATAGAGTCAAAGATCAGGAAGAATATGAAAAATAATTGGGATATTTACACAGAGTCAAAGTATCATTTTATAGATTACTTACTATTTTAAAAGGGAGAGATGTATCTTTACAATGAAAAGAACTGGCAATCACCCACTCGCCCATGTGATTAAACTTAACATCACTACTGAATGTTCAGATGCATGTAAAATAAAACATACGGCATCATCTATGATATACACCCACCAAAAATGTTTGTCTAAATTTAAGCAAGCCTTTAGACTGAACTTCCAGTGTACAAGAAATATAAGGAAAGGAGGAAAAAGGTTAAGTCACACTACACGGAAATAATCAGATAAATCTAGAATGTGGAACATTCTACAAATCAACTAGCCTGTCCTTTCAAAAAGTCTATGTCATGAAAAAAGAAAAAAGTTAAGGCATTTTTGTAGATTATAAAAGGCTAAAAGGGCTAATAGCCAAATGCAATGTATTAGTGAATTTCGACTGGCTCCTGGTTTAAAAAAATAATAATTATAAAAAAAATAATTATAAAAGACTTCATGGGACAATTGAGGAAATCTGAATATGATCTGGATATTTAATGATATTAGGGAATGATTATTAACTCTCCTGGGATGTTAATACTCCTCCAGTTATGTAAAAGAGTGCCCTTATTTTTAGAAGATGTGTGTTGAAGCCTAGTGGTGTTTGCAATTACTCTCAAAGGGCTTAGTCCCCACCTACCCACAAAAATATATTTCTATACACACATACACACAAATTGATAAAGCAAACATGACAAAATGAACAATTATTGAATCTAGGTGGAGGTATTTTGGTATTCATTATACTATTGCTTCAACTTTTATGTATATTTTTAAATTTGTCATAATAAATGTTAAAAAATATGGAGGCAAGATAATAATCAAGCTATTCTCTACCCAGAATTGAAATTTCTTTCTCTTGCATTTAATAGTAAAAATAAGTTATAAAACTCTTGTCCTGGTGCATTGGGCCAGTTACTGGGAACTTAAACACCACTCTATAACAGCTGTTGGGGAAAGTAACTGTACTGAGGACGAAGGATAGCCCTCTGAAACTGGACATCATTTTCACTGCCCTTTAAAAACCTTATCATTCCCAAGGCCGGGCGCGGTGGCTCACGCCTGTAATCCTAGCACTCTGGGAGGCCAAAGCGGGCGGATTGCTCGAGGTCAGGAGTTCCAAACCAACTTGAGCAAGAGTGAGACCCCATCTCTACTATAAATAGAAAGAAATTAATTGGCCAACTAATATATAGAGAAAAAATTAGCCGGGCATGGTGGCACATGCCTGTAGTCCCAGCTACTTGGGAGGCTGAGGCAGGAGGATTGCTTGAGCCCAGGAGTTTGAGGTTGCTGTGAGCTAGGCTGATGCCATGGCACTCACTCTAGCCTGGGCAACAAAGTGAGACTCTGTCTCAAAAAAAAAAAAAACCCTATAATTCCCAAACCAAAGTTCCTACCAGTTTAATTTTTTTTTAACAAATTAAAATCCTTTGTCTTGTTTTAGGTGGACTCCAGTAGAAAAACAGAAAAACAAAGATCTCATGTAGTATGACAGCTATTGAGCCTTTGCATGGGTTCAAATCCATCCCTTACGAGTTCAGTTTTTTTTTGTTGTTGTTTTTTTTTTTGAGACAGAATCTCGCTTTGTTGCCCAGGCTAGAGTGAGTGCCGTGGCGTCAGCCTAGCTCACAGCAACCTCACACTCCTGAGCTCAAGCAATCCTCCTGCCTCAGCCACCCGAGTAGCTGGGACTACAGGCATGCACCACCATGCCCGGCTAGTTTTTTCTATATATATTAGTTGCCCAATTAATTTCTTTCTATTTATAGTAGAGACGGGGTCTCACTCTTGCTCAGGCTGGTTTAGAACTCCTGACCTCGAGCAATCCGCCCACCTTGGCCTCCCAGAGTGCTGGGATTACAGGCGTGAGCCACCGTGCCCTGCCAGGAGTTCAGTTTTGAAGGTGCAGAGACTGCGGGGAGGTGCTGACAACCACAGATTTCTAGGAAGTAAATCTTCCTACCTGCTGAAGTGACTGCCTGGCCTTCCGTAAGCACCTTGTACTTAATTCAAGTACCTCTGTCCACTGGTGCTCTTTTATGCAAGACAACACACCAAATGCCAGAGCCATTGCTTTTCGGAAAATAGTAATGGATTCTTCTCCCAAGTTCATGTAACTGACAGTCTTCAACCAGCAATCAAATAAGGAAAAATAGCTTTGGATAACCCTTACAACCTGTGGTGCTGCTTCTGCATAAAGATAACCCAGTCATTTGATATCACTCAAGTTTCTGTTGTTTTTTTTAAAATAGTGATGCAGGTGACATGTAAGAAATACAAGCACGAGGGCAATAAAGTCTGGCTACTCCAGTATCCCTGCTGTTGGGGACAGGAATGAGAATCAGCAGCAGATGAAAGCAGTAAATAATTCAAAACTTTATACACTAATTACCTCTATTCCTCCTGAACACATTTTTCAGAAGATAAATGAGAGCTTTTCCAAAGGTAGATAGTAAGAGAGAGAGAGACGCTACCCTCTAGTTGAAAGTTTGTGTTACTTGGGAAAAAGCAAACGTGAAGTATGACTCTGAAAATGTCCCCAAAACTCTCAACTAACTGATTCTCCCCCAAACCAAAAGCAGACCTCAGCAAGGCTAAAACATAAAATTAAATGAACCCTAACGCTTAAGATAAACATATGGAAATGTGAGAAAAAATATTTCCTTTTGATTTTCGGAAGGGCAAGTAAGTTTCGGTGTGGGTCAAACTTCCATGGGAAAACAGAAGAAGTCTTACCTAGGTACAAGGATGCGTTTTCCTTCTTGACATTGTCGTCTAAGTAGGTTGGTCCCAGGGTATAGATAGGTGTGGAGCCCATTCCAATGAGAATCTGTGCGCAAACGAATAAGGCCACGTAGACCCAGTGACTATTTCCTCCCGAGTCCTTGGGGCAGGCCGGAGTCTCCAAAGTCGCCGTGGAGTTGCTGCTCTGGCACAGGCCGTCGTTTGGGGCCGAGGCGTTCAGCTCTTGGATCTGGTAGGGAGGTGAGATGAAGTGAGGTAAGGAGAAGAGGACAGCCCCGAAGGCGATGAGCAGTCCGCCCACGGCCAGCCACAGGGGCCGCCGACCCCGGCCGCCAAAGTAGCTGACGAACACCACCACCACCAGGTTCCCGATGTCAAAGCAGCTGACCAGCAGCCCCGACTCGGAACTCTTCAGACTGTAGCGCCTTTCGATGGTGGTGATGACGCTGCTCAGGTACCCGGAGACCATCAGCGCCTGGATGAAGGTCAGGAAGCACATGCAAACCAGGAAGCATCGGGAATCCGTGAGGACCACGTAGAGGCACCTTCTCTCCCGGAGTGCGGCCAGCGTGGACGACACCGACACGGTTTTGCTGGCGTCCACCCTGTGGTCACGGTCCACGAGCCCGGCCGTCCCCGCCGACGTGGACGGCTCAGAGGGGCTGGAGGCCGTCAGGTTCGGGCCTGGCTTCAACTCCTCGTGGCCCGAAGGGTCCGCACAGCCCGGGCCCGGCCCGGCGCCCGCACGCGCGGGGCTGAGGGGCGGCCGGCAGGAGGCGCCGCTCAGGGCAGGCAAACTCCGGGACCTGGAGGTCTCCGGCTCGCCCTTCTCCTGGACAGCTCCTGCCGCGGCCGGCGCCTCCGGCTGCTCTCCCGCCTGGGGCTGCAGTCCAGTACCTTCGTCCATGGCTCTCAGAATTCGGATTCGGTCGCTGATCGCACCCAAGGACTCGGGCGCTTTTCATCCGCCGGCACGAGGGGCCGGAGCCGGGCCGGCTCAGTCGTGCCCACCTGGGACCGGGGCTGGGGAAGCAGAGCCGCGCGGCAGGGCATCCTCACCAGCGGGGAGGCGCCCCGAGCATCCTGACCACACGCGTGGCCCCGAGGCTCCGCAGCCGCGCGCTGCGCGGGGCAGGGGTCCACGCGGTCCTGCGATGAGCCCTGCTTGGCGTCCCCCTCCGGGCGGTAGCTCGCGGCAGGCGCCCTGCGCGTCCCGGGCTCATCCCCTCCAACGCCGCCGCTCGGCCCGCGGCCAGGAGCGAGTGCGCCCAGCGTGGGGGCACTTAGCGCTGTCTACACCGCATCCCACCTCGCCGCGCCGGGACGCCCGGTCCTCGCCGCCTGGGCTCGCGACACCCTCGGGAGTGAAGATGCCAACCTGCAAAGCAGAGAAAGGACGGTCAGGGAAGGGCAGCTGCAGCCTGGGGCTGGCGTCCCGGCGCCCCGAGGGCCGGCGCGAGGTGCTCCGGATGGTCCCGAGCGGGGCGGAGGGGCGAGCGAGGAGCCAGACCCGGCAGCAGGCGACAGCTGCCAGCTGCAGTCTCCAGTCCCGGAACAATGAGCAGCAGGCGGTCGGCAGGGACTCTCGCTCATTGTCTGCCGCGGACCTGCCCCGCCTTTTGCCTTAAACAGTGCATTTGCTTTTATATGTTAATAATTATCAACCTGGCAGCTCTGACTCAGAGGCAGCGTCTTTTATTCGAGTGAACTAATTGCAACCTTTTCGTACTCCTACTCCATTACCCAAAATAGAAAATGCCCAAAAGAACAAAGGAAAGTTTTTTTCACAGACACACAGTGTCTTCCCTGTCCCAATTTTAAAAAACGAAAAGTGGGGGAGGGGACTACGTGTGTAGAAATGTGTGTGCACACTGGTGCGCTGGCACGTGTGCGCGTAGATGCGAATCTGTCTGCTCCCTCGGAGACACGTATTCAGAGCCAAAGGCAGCACCAAAAAGGTCAACGTGCTTGCCTCTTTATTCCCGACACTAAAAATAGCCCCCCCGCCCGAAAGAACTATTCAATTACAAATACCAGGGGCATTCGAGGCTGTGGCCCACACCAAGTCCCAGCGCGCAGTATCAAGCGAAACCGAAAATCAATTTGCTTCGCCGAGGGCTAGGGAAGCCACGACCAAACAAAGAGACGCCGGCACGCTGGCACAGCGCGCGGGCAGCCCACGGAGCCGGTCGGCACGCGCGGGCCGCCGGGGAGGCGTGCTATTTACTGAACGCTCCCCGTAAGCGTGGGCCTGGGGCGCGAGCGCGCGTGCGCGGCCACACACACACACACACACACACACACACCCGCACACGCACGCACACACACACACTCCCGGGTGTACGTGTTGGAACCGCTCTCGCCATCCGGACCCAGCTTGAATTCAAAAAGAGTCGAAAACAGGTGTGTCCTCAGGGTAAGCCCCGGCCCCTAACTGTGGGGACCCCCACTCCACTCCTCCAGCCCACCGGGGATATGCACCGGGTGGGAGACAGCGGGTCTCGCTGCACTGGGTTTCATTCTGCGACGCGCCTTTGTGATGCTGCTGAGAAAAGAAAGGAGGAAGCGTAAGGGAGAAAGGCGGGGAGGCTGGGCGGGCAGGGCTGGCAGCTCCGGCGTCTCGCGCCGCTGCGCTGGCCCAGACCGGCCCCCAGATTCCCGGCCTGCCAGCCACTTACAAGCCCGGGCTTCCCCGCCTCCCGCTCGCCCAGGCGCCTTCCCGGGGAACCCCACCAGCCGCGCGCGCGGAGCCAGGGAATCCCCGCGAACTCCCTCCGCGCGCGGGGGGCGTCCGAGCCCCTGACTGGGCGAGCACCCTCACCGCGGCGCAGACTCGGATGGACACACGGATCCTGGCGGGGAGCTCTCGCGGCAGGCGTGGAATCCCAGGGACACCCCTGCGCGCGCGCGTACACGCACACACACACACACACACACTCACACTCACTCACAATCGTGGGAGGACAAGACCGCCGGCGGCAGCTGGCCGCGCTGCCCGGCGCACGAGCCGCTACTCACTAGCGAGTCCGTCGGTCTGTCAGCCCGGCCGAGAGTGGCGCGGCGGGAGGTGGGACCGTGGAGCTCCTGGAATAGTTGGAAGCCGCTTGAGGAGGCGGCCCCGGTCCAGCCGCCGAGAAATCAGTGAATGAGACTGTGACTCAGGCTGAACTCTTCCCCCTACCCCTCGCCTGTCATCCAAGCCTCCTCCTCTCTCCAAACAGACACACGCGCACACAGACGCGTCTGGAGTGGCGCGGCCGAGGGCGCAGGCGCGCGGGCGGCCACCCGGCCCAGCCCTCAGGCAGCCGGCCACGCGGCTGCCCTTCACCTGTGCGGCTGCGGAGGGCCGCGAGCCCCGAGCCAGCAGGGCTCCAAAGCTCAGCGCCAGAGGCAGAGAGCCCACTGTGAATAAAGAAATTGTTTCCGCTAGTCCATGCCTTGTGCACCCACCTTGTCTCCCCCACCGTAGCAGCTCTGGGACCAAAGATGAACAAGACTCCTAGTCTGAGGAAACCTCTGTCTTGCGGAGAAAATACTCATGTAAACGGCCTAAACCCACGCGGTACATTCCACACAGCGCGCTACTACAGGAGAACCTCATAGCCATGAGCCCTGCTTCTAGGCAGCAGGAAGAGCTTGTGGGAAGGCACAGGCGTGGTGCTAACAGTCAATAGGTAGGTGACCTGCTGGGGGATTGCGCGGATGGGGCAGGGAGGACTGCAGGAGCGGCCCAGTAGGAAAGGACACTGAGGGTTTCCTAAGTTGTGTACTGTCAGTACTGAGGGGCCGGTGACATTCTGACGTCCTCACCAGAAAGCTGGCTTTGGCAGCGATGGATGGACTAAAGCGAGGCCACGCTGTGGGCACAGAAGCTAGTTAGGAGGCAATCTCAAAGCAAAATGTGACGAAGAGGGTGGAGAGGAGCAAACTGGTTGAAAATACATTGAAAAGGGAGATGTGACCAGATCCCACAGATGATGCAATCTGCAAGAGGAGAAAATGGGCCAATGTAGGATGACTCCCGACTTTCACACGGGGTGACTGGGTACATGGCGGCCAGCAAAAACACAGGAGGAGAAACATTCCCAAAGGGAAAAGATGGTTCCCATTTTAGATGCATTGAGTTTGAAATGTTTGGGGGACGTCCAAGTGTACATGTCCCTCAAGCCACTGTACATAGGACACCCGGGAGTTTTGGACTAGGAATAAAGACTGGTAGTCATCGGCCTGAAGGTGGTGTGAGAAAGGATGGGATGAATAGGGAAGATCATCCGAATTGTGAAGAGATGGGAACACCAAGATCCAGGAGGAGAGGGGAAAAGATAAGGAAGATTAGAAGCAATGGCCAGAGAGATACGGGAGAAATCAGAAAAGCCAAAAGAGCAGATGGCAGAGAAGTCAAATAGGATGATACCTGAAAAGAGTATCTTAGAACACTGGTGACCTTTGACAGAGCAGGACGGTGACCTAATGGAGGAAAGGAGGTTGCTCACAAGTACCAGTGACTGTGCTGGCTGTTGCTGCCATGCCAAGGCCACTCCACTGGCCCTTGGCCTTACCCAATGAGGGCACTGTCTCCATTTTACACATGTGACAAGTGTAGAGAGATTAAACCTCATAAAGGCATACAGCTAGTATGTACACGATATGAACCCTGTGTTCCAATAGTCTATGCCAGGGGTGGGGAACCTCTTTATGTTGGAAGGCCACATTCATTTAGCCGTAATCAAATAAAGCTGCATTCAAGAAACTTCAATAAGATATACTTAAAAACATACAGTATTTTGTAAAAATCTAACTACTATGTACTTAATAGTTTCCAAAAAAATGAAAACTATTTGTTAATTTTAAAGTTAACTAACCTTTTAATGACTTTGTTGTGTCTGCTTTTTGTTGGAAAGCATTTGAATATTTGGTTGCAGCATGGAGGCCCGTAGTTTCAGTTGGTCTTCTAGATGGGTATCAGTCACTTGTATCCTTAAGGGCATCTTGATTTGGGTTAGGTAAGGGAATGTAGTTTCTCAACAATAAATACATGAAAAGCAAGAAAGTATTTTTCAGGCATGTTGCCGAAGGCATGGATATTCTACTGCATTTTTCCATATTTCAATTGGATCTTTCTCGGCATCAAACAATGACTTTAAGGCCAGGCTTGGTAGCTCATGCCTGTAATCCTAGCACTCTGGGAGGCCAATATGGAAGGATTGAGTTTAAGACTAGCCTGAGCAAGAATGAGACCCAATCTCTACCAAAAAGAAGAAAATCAATCAGGATTGTGGTATGCGCCTGTAGTACAGCTACTTGGGAGGCTAAGGCAGAAGGATCACTTGAGCCCAGGAGTTGGAGGTTGCAGTGAGCTACAATGACACCACTGCACTCTACCCAGGGCAACAGAGTGAGACTCTGTCTCAATAAAAAAATAAATAAATAAATAAATAAAAAAAACCTTTAAAATGCCACCTACTGAGAGCTCAATCAATTCCATCTGTAGTTCTCCAGGTGCCTTCCTGATATCAACTAGGTGAGGCTGAAATGCTAATTTGAGTGTGATGTCATGATTCCCAAAGTCAGTGAACCTTTCGTTTTATTCTCCAATTAATAGGGTCTGTAACAGGTGCATAGTCTTCAAATGATTCGCATATATCATCCTGCTGATCAATGACCTGTTAACTGGGGAAAAGTTCGCCTGAAATTTCCTTTTGAAGAATGTTTTGAAAAAAGATAGCTTTTTTTTCAAAATGCTTGGATTTTTTGATGCATATCATATATAGACTTAGTTTTACCTTGCAAAGAAATATCCAAGTCATTTTTATTTGATGTGATACCACACAGAAATGCTGCATTCCTATAGAAGTCTTCTTTCAAAATGCACATTGCTGATTCTGTTCTTCATAAAATTTAACTATCTGTTCTCACAGAGATAAAATTTTGGCTAACACTTGTCCCTGTGATAGCCAACTCACTTTAGAATGACATGGCAAATCCACACTGAATACCTCATGGCTCAACTTTAGCATGTTATAAAACTGAAGATGTGGTGTTGCATTTGCCAGAATATAGTTAACAATACTTATAACCTGTTGCAAAGTGTCACTTAAAATAGTAGCTTTAGCACAGAGATTGTGCTGATGCAAGATACAATGGGCCGGGCGCGGTGGTTCACACCTGTAATCCTAGCACTCTGGGAGGCTGAAAGGCGGGCCGCCGCGCATTGCTCCGGCCCAGGAGCGCTCTCACCGCAAACCAGCCTGAGCAACGAGCAACGAACCGCATGCTCTACTATAAAGTCAGAAAGAAACTTCAATGCGCAACTCTAATATATATACAGAAAAATTAGCCGGCATGGGTGGCCAATGCCTATAGTCCCCAGCTACCGGCGAGCTAGCCCATAGGATGCTTGAACCCAGATTTTTGAAGGTTGCGCGTGAGCGCTAGGCTTACGCCATGGCACTACTCCTAACCTGGCAACAAAGTGACGACCTGTCCAAAAAAAAAAAAAAAAAAGAGACTCACAAGAAACTAAATGAGAGCATCCATGTAAACAAAACTCTGTTAATAATCTTTTATCTGGTGAATAAATCCGTCCGTTCTGCTCATCGGAACGTGTACTGCTGCGGTAGCACTCAATACAGTTTAGCCAAATTCGAACTCATTCACATTACTTGAAGTGTGAACATATCATTCCCGTGTCTGTTTACTGCAAAGAGTGCCCTTCGAAATTATAAACTCTCTGTAACGCAAAAGAAAATCTTCTGTTAACGAGCGCGCGATGAAGTATAATGACACTTGCTGACGTCAACTAGTATTAGTTAGGTCCGGGCGGGTGGCTCACCGCGTAATCCTAGCACCTGGAGGCCGACGCGGGGCGGATTGCGCTCGAGTTGGGAGTTCGAAACCCATCCTGAGTCAACCCCGTCTCCTATAAAACAGAGAAAGAAATCAACTTGAAAACTACAAATATACAGACAAAAAATTAGCCCGCAGCGCCGGCGGACGCGTTACCGCTCACTTGGAAGGCTGAGCAGAGGATCCGCTTCTGAAGCCGCAGATCTTTGAGGCTTGCCGGTGACAGTAGGTGACGCCCACGGCACTCACTCTAGCCAGTGGCAACAAAAGTCGACCGATGTCTCAAAAAAAAAAAAAAAATAGTAATTAGTTGTTCATGCCAAGATCTAAATAATCGGATGGCTATTCGTACTTGATACGCAATGCAAGTTTCTGTCTACATGAAGGCGACATAGCTGCCGATCATTATGGCTTACTGGGACAGCGAGGCCGTTGCTTGTACTTGAAACCGTATGGGATCCTCAAGCATCTACAACTTCCACAATCGTTTCCCAATTGATAGAATGCTTACCGTTTTTTCTGACGTATCGCAAAGCTCTTTAAATGCTTCTGGGCATCATTTCCGTTTTATGCTGTGAAAGAATGTCTTTGCTTCGCTTTCATCTTTTAATTGCAATACAACCTTTTTGCACTCTCCCCTCGTAACTTAACAATATTTGGGTCTTATGATGCTTCATAAGCTGGATGAGCATTCATTTCTTTTTTTTTTGAGACAGAGCTCGCTTGTTGCCGCAGGCTAAGGAAGTGCCATGGTGTCAGCCTAGCTCACAGCAACCCTCAGACTCCTGGGCTCCAAGGCAACTCCTAACTGCCCCAGCCCTCCCGAGTAGCTGGGACTACAAGCATGCGCCACCATACCCGGCTAATTTTTTCTATATATATTAGTTGGCCAATTAATTACTTTCTATTTATAGTAGAGGCAGGGTCTCGCTCTTGCTCAGGCTGATTTCGAACTCCTGACCTTGAGCAATCCGCCCACCTCGGCCTCCCAGAGTGCTAGGATTACAGGCGTGAGCCACCTCGCCCGGCCAGCATTGCATTTCTTTAATGTTGATATTGCAGTATCACAAAGCAAGCAAATAAT